TATTGTGCTTTTCCCGGCTGAGGCACTGGATGGCCGCTCACGACCACTGCCAGCCACTCACGGTAGCTTATGACAGCCCACTGCAGCTTCACTGCAGCCTACGCCATCACCAGCGACTCAAGGCAGCCCAGCTCCAGGTCGAGCTGTTGTTCACCGTCTTAGCTGTAGAGGACGCAGCGTCACTGGCCCTAATGTGGGATCTGAACCGGGGCCCTGCTGCTCAGAGCTGGCATCCCAAGCCAACTCTTAACCAACGTGCCACTCAGCCAACCCGATTATCCCCATTTTTAAGGGTGACAGACCTGAGGTACAGAGGGAAGAAGTGCTTTATATAACACAGGTCCACTGTTCATCTTATCTGAGACTTTCATGTGCCTGAAAAACCTCATTATTATGTGGCCATCTTTAACATAAGACCTCTAAGAATAATGTTATCATGAAGCTGGAGTATATTTCCACACACATATACTCCTATGACCAGCAGTTTGCCGAACCTGGTCTATCAAGTGAGTAACCGAGGCCAATTTAGGAATTAATTTAAATATTAAAATATTGATTGAGGTAGAAAGAAGAGAGCCTATAATAATTTAGAATTCTTAATCTTTCAGTGCAGATATAAATTAAATGTGTTTGTGGAATACTTACTATACAACAACAAAAGCCAAGCTCATAGATATGGAGAACAGATGGGTGGTGGCCAGAGGCGGGGATTGGGAGAAATGGATGAAGGGGGTCAAAAGGTATAAACTTCCAGTTATAAAATAAGTAATCCTAGGGCTGTAATGTACAGCGTGGTGACTGTAGCTAATGATCTAAGAGAGTAGATCCTAAAAGTCCTCGTCACAAGAAAAAAAATTTTGTAATTATGTATGGTGACAGATGTTAACTGGCATTATTGTGGTGATCACGTCACAACATATACAAATAGTGAATCATTATGTTATGCACCTGAAACTAGTATTATGTCAGTTATCCCTCAGTAAAAAAATAATATTTAGTACGTGCTGAATTTCAGGTACTACATTGTTTTTCTGCTGGGGAGTAGAATTAACATTTGCGTGTGCTCTGTGTGTCAGGCATTCTGTTAAACATTTCATATCCATTATCTCATTAATCAACAAATGCTTGGTTTTTATTGTTTTAGAATCCAATATATAGGTTGAATATTTGTTGGTCTCATCTTTTCATCTTAACAAATTGACTGCCCTTTTTGTGACGAAGTGTGCCTTCTGTACGAAGGCCGTTTATTTTCTTGAACATAAGAAGGAGCTATACAATCGAATATTAGGGAAATGATGGTGTTATATCCATCATGTGTACTGCTGTTAACAGATGTTTACATTTTAACCTGACTAGTAACAAATTTTCAGTAATCACCCTGAATTTTTTATACTGAACTCATGAGAGCTAATCTTTTCAGAATCAATCAATAATCACTTAGGTCTTAGTAACAAGATTAAAAAATGATAATGGGAGATATTTCCAAAAAAAATGTAGGAAAGTTTTCTTCCTATTTCTCCTGAAGTATTTTGTCTAGTCCAGGCCTGTCAATTATGATGCATGTGTACCACCTTTGGAGGAATTCCTTTTGTGAAACATTTCATGCTGATGCAGCAATGGTTTTGAATCATTTGTTGTTGTTTACATTTTATTATTTTTTGGACTGTTTCGTTGGTGATTAAGTTAAAATACATATGTGAGTGCTTATACCTAATGATAAATTCCTTAGGTTCTCCATTCATGTTCCCCCTCTGGTTGTCAGGTAACAAATGGAGTCATTTTGGTTGGTTGATTGTCTACATGAACAGGAATGGTGACAACGCAAAACCTATTCTATAGTAACCAGAAGTACCCACAGTTCCACATAGGTGGTTTGCACCCTGGAAATGAGTGTGCTCTCTGTGAGGGAAAGCTTGGTATCACAGGGAGCTGCTTTTTATTCTCTGCCCATTGACTCTCCTCTGATCATTCTCTCCTCTGTAAAGTGGAAACAGTAGTACCAACTTCAGAGGTTTGTTAAGTCTAAATGAGATATGTATATGAAAGAGCCTGGTGGGTAACATGCTCTTAGTAATTAGTTACGTTATTGTTTTTTTTTAAGTAACTGCTGGTTCTCTGGGTTATGTTCTTTTGCCTTAAAATTCATTTTTTATTAACTATATTCTGGGGTTCTTGAATGCCTGCTGTGATGAAAAACATAGTTTTATCTTCTGGGTTTTTTCAAGTTTCTACATTTCCAATCCTAGATGCAGATACTTAATTCTTAAGATGTTAGGAGGGATGAAATAGCAGGTCTTTTCTTTCTTTCTTCCTTCCTTCCTTCCTTTCACTCTCGCTCTTTCTTTCTTTCATGGGGGGAGGGTGGGGGAGTGTGTGATACACAGAGGGTGTGATATTGGGGAGGGTGTGACAAATGGCATTTGTCACAGTCCTTGGGAGTCTGACGTCTGCATGTCCCTTTAATCAGTGGAATTTGTTTTTGCAGGTATGGGCGGAGCGGCCATCGCACCACCAACTTCTCTTGTAGAGAAAGACAAAGAGCGTATGTATCTGCTTCTTCCCGTTTCATTCTGATACAGATCTTGAACCCAGTCACGTGCTGTCTTAGCTTCCATTGGCCAGGTGTCCTGAGTGTAAAGGGAAATGGCCCGAAAGCCAGTCCTCTGGCTCTAATCCTAGGTCCCCGGCTGGGTCCTGGAGGCCCCTCACTGCTCCCTTCCACCTTTGTACTCTAGAAGTTTTTGTGCCAGGCTCGGAGGCTTGGATTTTTAGACAGTGAGATGCCTTTTTAAAAAAATTCATTTTGTCTTCTCCAGCATTTCATATTTGGAGTTAGGTTAAAACAAATAGTAGCTCCTCAGTTTACAAGTTTTGTCTTCTGTGGTTAGAGGCTGTTAAATTCATGACCTTCCACAAGGTGGCAGTGTCTTCCTTGATTAGATTTTTCTGCCATTAGTTTCTAATTCAGTGCACAGGTTGTGTCCATTTGTTTACACTGCCAAAACATGCCCTCCCACTGTTTCTTCCCCCAGTGATCTATTCTAGAACTTTTGGTTTGGAATTGAACTTTTATATATCACCTAGGTTATTTTCCTGCCCTCTGGGTTGGACCATACCTAAACTATCTCAAGAAAATATAATCAGGGCTGGCTAAGTGGCTCAGTTGGTTAAGAGCTCACTTAAGAGCGTGAGCTCTAGCAACAGGGTTGCGGTTTGATTCCCGGCCTGAGCTGAGCTGCCGCTGAGCTGTCAACAAGTGGCAGGATGGCTCAGCTAAAAAATAAATAAATAAAATAAAAGTGCGAGCTCTGAGCAACAGGGTCGCCAGTTCAATTCCTGGCCTGAGCTGAGCTGCCAACAGGTGGCAGGATGGCTCAGCTAAGAAGAATNTTGCTACTCTATAACTGTAATTTTGCTACTGTTATGAATCATAATGTAGATATCTTTTTGTTTTCCGATGGTCTTAGGCGACCCCTGTGAAAGGGTCATTCGACCCCCAGCTTGAGAAGCGCTGTTCTAGAGAGTCAAAATTATTAACCTATTATCTATGTTAATATGCTTTAAAATTGAAAGAGGCAAATACCAAGGAAATGTTTGTTGCTACTTGTACTCATATACCTATTGAATATGTTCCATTTATCTTCTGGATTTTTCTCACTTCTCACACTTCTCCTGCTTTAGTTTTCAGCCAGTTGTTTGCACACATCCCCCTCCTCCTATTAATTAATAGTTTAGTGTGAAAGGGACGATCTGGATATTTTCCAGTCAAGAGAAAGTCACAGCTTGGGTTCACATCTCTAAATTGGTTCGTCCATGATGAACATTTGGTTTCTTTATTGTCACAGGAGGCGTAAAGACAGACATGAAGCTAGTGGGTTTTCAAGGCGACCAGATCCAGACTCTGATGAAGATGAAGATTATGAGCGAGAGAGGAGGAAAAGAAGTAAGGCGGGCATAAATACCATGTTTCAAACACGGTGCCATTCCACTATTGCTTTTCATATTCAATTTGGTAAATAGTGCAGCTGACGTTGATAGAAGTAATTTTCTCCCTGGAATCCCAGCAATACACATTTGCATACACCTTTTATTTATGTTGTGTTTTCACATAAGAGCTTCCCACCCACTTTCTAACATTTATTAAGTGGATACTTGGAGCATACCTGAAACTTTTCTTCACCTGCAGCACAGTCACACTGACCTGTTCTCTGTTATCAGGTGCATTTCTGTTAAGCACTGAACGGAGAGTCAAGACAATCATTTCCAGAACATTCACCACTAACATGTATGAATTTGAGGAAATCACTTAGCCTCCCATGACGTTGGGTTTTTTTCAATGTCATCTGGAGAGCAGGAAGACAAGAATTTGAACCAGTTTCTTCGTAAGGCCCCTTCCAGCTCTACATCTGTAATTGCATTAGAGCTAAGTCCTTAGTGATCACTACATAGTTAAGTAGTGTTCATTCTTGAGAGGATGAAAGGCTTCTTATTTTGGCTTCAGCATTATTTTGATTGCTGGCATTTCCTTGGTTTAGTTGACCAGTGTGGTTGACAAACTGAGATTTAAGTGAAAATTTTTCAGTCTTCTACTTGTCTACTAGATATCAGCTGCTGTTCTAAGCACTTTTGTAGATTATCTCCTTTATGCCACACAGCAACTCAGAGTGGGCTCGGTGATTATCCCCATTTTTTTTTTAAAGATTTTT